GTCCATGCTATTTTTGACACTGGCCACACCAGCTTGCATTCCCACCAACAGTACACAAAGGTTCCTTTTTCTCCACAACCTCATCAACACTTGTGTTTCTAGTGTTTTTGATTTTAGTTATTCTGACAAGTGTGAGGTGACATCATGTAGTTTTGACTTGCACTTCCCTGACAAAGAGTGATGCTGAGCATCTTGTCATATGTCTGTTGGCCATGTGAATGTCTTCTTTGGAGAAATGTCTGTCCATGTCTTCTGCCCATTTTTCAATGGGATTATTTGTTGACTTATTTGTTTTTTACTATACTCTTGACAATCTTACCTTCTAGAAATATATAATATAGGCTCTTTTTCCTTAAAAGATAGAAATCATTTACTTTGTTTACCTGATTTTTCAACAGACAATTGAGTATTAACAATTGTACATGCAATTTTTTAAGTCAAAAAAGAAAAAAATAATCTGCCCAAGAAATACCACAGGGAGGTTATTATGAAAGGCAAGTGTAAACATCTGTAACTACTGTGGCTAAAAATTTGCCAAGGAGTGATATGTGATTAAAATAACCATGTACCAGATAGGTCTTCTCACATAACAGCCTAGCAGCACTATGTCTACTCAGGGATTGCCTTTTTAGCCACCTCTTGTGAACTATCTTCGTTAAAAACAAAACAAAACTAAAAACTAAAAACATTAAGAATTTATTCCTGGACCAAAAAAAATTACTTTTAGAAAATAAAGGAATCTCTTACTAAGTGAGGTAAGATAATACTTTGCTTCAAGAAAAATACATTCTTTTAAATTGCTATGTTGCTGAATTCTGGATACCAAAAGGCAATATATTGTCACATCAAAGGATTTAAGGAAGACTTTTGCATTGGGCAGGAAAAGAAGGGGACTTCAACTTAATCTTCTCTTACAGAAATTAATTTAATTAAAGCACTAAAGTGAGAAAACTGTTGGGTAAATGGTAATCAATGAGTTTCCAAAAAGCAAGCCATTTCACTGATACTGTCCTTTCCATTTACTGTCACTCTAAAATGATTTAAAAAGAAATGAGCTCTTGCCAGAAAAGTGGTTCATGTTACCCATGCTAGCCTCTTAGGCACATGTCTGTAATTCTGTACGGAGGTCAGAACAGTTTCTGTCATCTTTTTGAGTTGTTTTGTTTAAAGCCCTTTATCTAAGTCTATGAGACCCACACCAATATTTTTCAGAAGGAGAAAAAGCATCTCAGTTGACTTAAGAAAGATACCAACTCTCATACCAGGTGGTGGTGGGCAGGGTCTTGTTGGAGTTCCAGTCTTTGGTGGCAGTGCTGGGGGTACATCTTCACTTTTGACTGATGTTTCCTCAAGCACATTTTTTTTAATGACCACATTATTGACAGAGCTTGATGTGGCTGAACCAAAAGGATCTTCATTGTTGACCTTTGTTTGAAAAGAAATGTTATACGTGGTTATATAAATTATACCAACCAAATTATATATGGTCATGTAACATTTAGAAGAATGATCTTCATTATTTTTTTTTTTTTAATTTTTTTTTCAACGTTTTTTATTTATTTTTGGGACAGAAAGAGACAGAGCATGAACAGGGGAGGGGCAGAGAGAGAGGGAGACAGAGAATCGGAAACAGGCTCCAGGCTCCCAGGCTCCGAGCCATCAGCCCAGAGCCTGACGCGGGGCTCGAACTCACGGACCGCGAGATCGTGACCTGGCTGAAGTCGGACGCTTAACTGACTGCGCCACCCAGGCACCCCGAGAATGATCTTCATTATTATGCAGCTTTATTTATTTCAATTCAGAGAGCACTGACATGTTAACCTTTGCATTCAGGGCCAAAAGGGAAAAATTTTTAAAAAACTGTTTTATATGAGTAGTGATTATAACATCACTACTTATTAAAAGCAACATATCATACCAAAACAAGCCAACTCTGGATTAAAAGTTTTTCAAGCTTGGGGAACCTGGGTAGCTCAGTCGGTTAAGCGTTGGACTTCAGCTCAGGTCATGATCTCTTAGCTCATGAGTTCAAGACCCCACATTAGGCTCTGTGCTGATGGCTTGGAGCCTGGAGCCTGCTTCGGATCCTGTGTCTCCCTCTCTCTCTGCCCCTCCCCTGCTCACACTCTGTCTCTCTCTCTCTCTTAAAAATAAATAAACATTAAAAGAATTTTTTTAAGTTTTTCAAGCTTCAGGAAATACAATACCACCTGAGGTCCATTTTAAAGGGACTATATGTTTTTCCTCAAGTGAATATTTGATCCAAATGATAAAGAAAAAAAATACTGATTCCACACTTCCCAATGTACTTAAATATAGGAAAGATTTAATACTAACGCCAAAGAAAATAGCATCTTGAAAAACATTAAAAACAACTTGAAAGTTAATTTTTAAAAGCAAACTGATCCCATGGAATGACAAGTCTTAACGTGCCTTTCTAATACCGGGAGTAATGAAAGATTCACTTTTCTATAATGAATCAAACATGATGGGTTTAGATCATATTTAGGCCAGTGTTTTTCTACAGTACTACTTAAAATGTGGGCTGTACGTAATTCTGTGTTGTGGGGCGACAGACACTGTGCTGTAGAATGTTTAACAGCACCCCTAGTCTCTATCCACTAGATGTGAGTAGTCCCCCTCCCCAGTTGTGACAACCAATAATGTCTCTAGACAATGCCAAATAATTGAAGGCGGGCGGGGGGGGGGGGGGGGGGGGGGGGGGGGGATAACATCCAGCTGAGAACTGATGATATAGACAATTTTACATATACTCTAATTTTACTCTTTTGGTCTAAATCAATCCTAGAGCTACACTGGAAAATAGGTAGTGGACATACAGAGCTGGACTATGTGTATTAAATGTCTTAATACTAACCCTAACAGCCTCAGAACATAGAATGAAGTGACCAATGCAGAGAAGATAGAATGATGCCCAGATTTTACAGCTATTGACCCAGATAGTCAACAGGGGGGAAATGTAGTTCAACTGGAAGAAATATGTTTAATTTTCTTTAATGTTTATTTATTTTTGAGAGAGAGAGAG